TGATTGCCAACAGAAGCACCCAGAAGAACATCCTGATGAACTTTGGGAGGTTCCCATCCTCCCTTCAGCCTCTTCTGCCCCTGGCAGGGGTTGAATTAACAAACACCACCGGGTAGAACTTTCCCTTCTGAAAATTAACACCTGGGCACTCCCTGCCCCGGGATCTGACAGATCCCAAAAGGGAGAAATCGCTGGAAAAAAAGGGGTTTAGAGGAATTCCTGGAATATAAACCATCCAGGATCCTGTGCTTCACTGCAGGGAGTCTCCCAGACCATGAATATTCCCTAAATCCTTCCTTCCTACACACTGAGCCTCACCATGAGCCTTCCACAAAACCTCCCACCCCCTGCCATGGGCAGGGACACCTTCCACCAGCCCAGGGTGCTCCAACCTGGCCTTGGACACTTCCAGGGATCCAGGGGCAGCCACAGCTTCTCTGGGCAACCTGGGCCAGGGCCTGCCCACCCTCATAAATAAGAATTTTTGATAAAAACCCGATTAAAATAGCCACCAAATTAAGGCAAATGTGGCTTTAGCTCACAGTGTTCCAATGCCACACGGGCTGTGGGAGCCAGTGCCCCTCAATCCAGGGATTGTCTCCTACGGGATCCTCCCTAAATCCGTGGGTTTCAACAGCAAATCTTTGCTGCTTATCCAAAAGAGACCTTGAATTTTATCTTTTTATAGGATTTTGTTGGTGGTTGTTTTTTTTTCCCCAGCGAGGTGAGGGCAAGGGCAGCAGCACCTTCCCAGCGATGCACAGGCACTCCATGGATTAAACAGTTAATTGCTGTATTGTTTAATTGGAGTTACAACAGGATAAATGTACAGTTGGAATCAACATGCTAAATTCTAAAGCAATTCCACCTGGAAACCATGCAGTCCATTCCTTAAGCAGTCCAGCTCTTTGTCTTCTCTTTTTCATCAGTAGCTCTGCTAGTGAGTTTTAAGGAGGAAAAAAAGCAAACAAAAAACAACCCCCCCAAAAAAAATTCCCTTTAAAGTTAAACCTAATTTACTAAATTTTTTTCCCCTTATTGTGCAACGACTTGTGCAAAAAAAGCTGTTTCCACCACATCAGTTTTACAAAATCACGGCCTTTCCACCTCCCCCCCCCCAAAAAAAAAATAATAATAAGTGAGAAAAGGCAACTCAAGCAGCCGGTGGACAGGGAGGGATTGGGATGGGGGCAGGGATTGGGATGGGGGCAGGGGTTGGGATGGGGGCAGGGATCGGGATGGAGTGTTTTCCTGCCAGAACTGAATCAGAGGGATGAGCCAAGGCGGAAAGAGCCCGGCACACGCAGGATTCCAGAAGCCTCAGCTGCCCGTGGAATTTTTGGGGTGCTGGGCTCCCCCAAAACTGGGGGAGCTGTGGGTGGGGATGGATGTAAAGGTTCCTAAATCCAGGTGGTTGCAGACTGGAGCAGCAAATTTGGGATGAAGCAAATCATCTAGTCCCCAAATCCCAGGCTGATCTTCCCCCTCTCTCCATCCGGCACTTTTGGGGTGAATCCCACCCAGATCCCGGGGAATTCAGGTCAGTTCCCGTAAAACTCACAACTTTCCCAGTGGACAGCAAGGGCTGGGAGCATCTTGAAGTCATTTGGGGACGAGATTTATTTGTGAGTCGTGCTCCCTTCGAGCTCCCCAGCACGGGACAGACCCCGAGTCGTGCTGATGGGGGGACACACGGGGGGTCTCCTGGCCCCAGGGAACTGTGGGGAATGGGACACAGAGATCCCCCCGTCCCCGTGGCACCCAGGGGTGGGACACACACCCAACACACCCAGACCACTCCACGGTCCCAAAAAAAAGCACCAAGCCCAACCCAGAACTCAAGGGAAAAGCCAACCAGAGGCAGGAAACATCCAAGGGTGGAGATGTCTCTCCCTGGGGTTTGGACACTGCTCGGAAGGGGGGATTTTACCCCAAAAGCAGCTCCAGCACAAGGAGTCAGGAGGCCACCAGAGCAGCCCTGGCTCCACCTCAGCCTCCTCATCCCATGTTGCCTCCCAGCATCTCCCAGTTTGGGGCCAGCACAGAACCCCACACACCTCCTGCCCCAAAATTCCAGCTTCCCAGAGGCACAAAAGCAGCTGATTTTGAAGGAAAACAAACCCAAAGCAGCCCCTGGAACAAAGCACCAGCCAAACTTCTCCCATCCCCATCCGAGCTGGGAGCTGAGGCTGGATCTAAAACAGAGTGCAAAATATGCTGAGAGCATCTGACCTGAACTGCAGCCCCTGGAATAAACCAAAAAATCCCAGGAAAAGCCTCCTCCTCTCTCTCACACGTGCTGATGGCTCATGGAGAACGCTCCCCTCACCTATGGATACACTTGGGGCTGCAAATTCCCACCTTACATAGAATTATTCCCAACCCTTGGACTGCCTGACGAGATGATAAAGAGAGATAAGAAGTGCAGATGCTTCCCAGGAAGCCAAAATTGGGGTGGGGTATTTTTTGTTGTTAATGTATTTTTTTCCCCTCACTGGTGGTGATTTTTGTTTTCCCCCCTGGAATATTTTTACGAATATTTCCTGGAAAAATTGGGGCAGCAACCCTATCTTTTTTTTTTTTTTCTTTTTCTACAGCCACTGCTTAAAATCTAAAACCCTCTAAGGAACGTTCAGTGTCTGGGGAGGGAGGGGTTATAGCAGCATTACTTATTTTGAGGGGTTGCAAATCTTCACTTGGGGTTCTGCTCCCTCTTCCCACCCTCCTTGGAAATTCCCAGCGACAACCTTCCCCTCCTGAGCAGTTCCCCCATCATTAGTAGGGGACTTAGAGGGGATTTGGAATGTCTTCCAGGGCTTTTTAGGCAATCTGTTCAAAAGATTAATTCTGTTTTCAAGGGGATTGGAGCTGCATCTCTTGGAACAAAAAGTTAATTAAGACCAGAGCACCAAAAATGCCATTTTTCATCCCGGGGCTGTGACTTGCGGTTCAGGCTCTTGACCTCCCCAAATCAGGAACTCCCTGAATCCCCTCCCTTGGCCCAATCTGAACTTTCCCAGTGGCAAGTCTGGAGCGCCAGGAGCTGGTTTTGTGGGATCCCAATCCCAAGGAGCGAGGGAACCCACCCCGGGCACGGCACGGCCGCGTCGCTCCTCTTGGAATTGGAGCTCGGTGGAGACGGGAAGGGGAGCCCAGATGTGGGATGGGGATGGGAAACGAGGAGTTGCCTCCAGGCCCAGCTGTGTTGAGGTTTTCCTGCAGGAATACCTTGTGCAGTGGGATACAGGAGGGAGAAAATGGAATTTCGGGGTGGCAGCAGATGCTTTGTCCACCAAAATCCCTTCCTGATATCTGAGGATCCCGATCCTTCTCCCTTTATCCCACACCCTGACTGAGTTCCTCTTCTCCCCCTGGAAGCCTTTGCTGGGTCATCTGTGGGTTTGTCTACAAAGATGATCCCTTTCTGGCCACGTGACACCAACTTTCCTTCACCTGCTTCTTTTTCCTTCGTCCTCCTTGCATGTCCTTCCAAGAGGCATTAAAAAGGAAGTCACCTCTGATCCCCCTCCAAAATCTGAGGAACCACAATGCCAGGATGGGTTTTCCCTCCTAGTAATGAAAATAATCCCTTGGTCCTCGTGGATGGAGGAGGCTGGGACAGGACAACAGCCCCAGGAGGTCATCCCTGACCACATTCCTGTTCACTTCCAGGGTTAAGCAACGCGAATCCTTCCCAAAAACACAACAAACCACCCAGAAGTCTTGCTGAGGAACAAGGAGAGAGGACAAAGCCTCATCCCCTTCGTGCATCCAGAGGGTGGGAAACGGGCACATTTCCTGAAGCCCACCCAGGCCTGTAACATCCACCAGGAAGATTTTAATTCCCTTTACCACAGGGCTCTGGGAGAGGGGGAATGCGGCTGGATAAAGTTTTCACCTGCAGCACTTGGAGTCAAAAGGGTAATGGGACGATAAGGGTGAAAATCCCCCTCAGTAACCTGAACCCCAGAGCTAAAATCCCGCTGGGAACGTTGCCCTGCTCCTCAAAAGCTGCCTGATTCCAGCAGAGAGTCTTTGGGAACCTTCAGAGAGGAGGGGAATTTTGTCCATAGGCACTTTGGAGCAGGGAGGGGACTGAGCACTGCTGACCATGCCAGGGGTTCCACAAGTTTCCCACTCGAGGTCCCATCCAGGGCTGCTCCTCACACCGAGCAAACCAAGGGAAGCAAGAGGGGCTTCACCCCATGGAACCAACAAGAGGAGAGGGAACATGGGACACCAGCATGGAAAAGAGAGGGAAAACCCCAGAATGCAGTGCCCTGGGCATCAGGAGAGCTCAGTTTTACCCCATCCCTCCATTCCTGCTGCCCCAACATGGACGTGATCCGCTGCAATTCCAGCACCAATCCGGCTCCACGGGACACCCTGCCGGGTTATCCTTTGGCTCTCCCTTTCCATATCTAATTAATCAGGCAGCTCTACAGCCCTTCTCCACCCCAGCAGGTGCCGGTGGTGGAGCTCAGGGGTGGCCACGCCGCTCATGGACACACAGGGAAAGGCTGCAGCTCCAGGGATCCCCAGGGATCCCCCTTTGCCAAGGTGGAAACCAGCTCTTAGATGGGAAAACGAGGAGAAAAACTGGGAAATCACTTTGTCTCTCTTTCCTACCTAAATCCAAAGCACAGGCTGGCAAGACACACTAATGGGTGACTCTCTTTCCTCTGACCCATGAGAAGAATCCCAACCACGGCTCCTCCCTCCGGATTTTTTGCGGATAACCGAAGGAAGGCAGGATGATCCCTTCAATTTGGCTGCTACAACAGGAAAACAGCCGGGCTGTGAGCTTCTCTCTCAGGCTTTAGGGCTTCCTCTGGCTTCCTAAACCCCAGAAAACAGGAGTTCATCCCAGGAGCCTCCTGAAACCCCCTCCAAGTGCCAGCCTCTTCTCCCAAAGGGATTGTTCCACAAGGAGCGTTTTGTCACCGGGAAAGGGGGTTGGGAGGAGGGCGGGGGGGGAAGGTTCCGGGAATATACAGGTGAATAAAAAAATACATATATTCTCTTTCAACAAGAATCCCAAGTCCAGGGGGGTTTGGGAAGGAAGGAAGGAAGGAAGGAAGGTCCCCCCCAGCCCCCTCAGGAGTGGTGGCTGTTGATGAGGCTGCGGAGCTGCTTGGCCACGGTGTCGATGAGCTTCTGCTTGTCCCGCTCGTTCTTCCGGAACTGGGCAAAAACGTTGTTTTTCCTGCTCGTGTCCCTCATCCTGCGCAGAGCAGAAACAGGTTATGGCACGAGGGAGGGAGCCACGTGGGAATTCTGAGTGTTCAGGGGAGGAGGTGCCCCAGTTTGAAGGCTCTGCAGTGACTTCTATCACATTTTTGGGGCGTCCTTCTGCCTTTGCACGGTTGGTGTTTTTGCTCCAAACCCCACAAATCCCCACCAGTGTCACCACGGGGTCTCTCCAGTGACAAACTGCAAGAAGCCCCAAAGCCTCTGCCTCCAAACAGGTCCCCTCTGAAGTGGGGACACGACAGCGATGTCACGGCAGGAGGGACTTAAAAAACGAGCATCCAATCCACAGAATCAAGGGGTTTAACTTGAAATGGTGCGTTGCACGAGGTTTTTGTGGGGGCTGGAAAGGTCTGGAGTTGTGAGCTTAAAATATTATATGGAAATCACATGGAATGGTTTGAGTTGGAAGGGGCCTTAAAACCATCTGCTTCCAACCCCTTGCCATGGGCAGGGACACCCTCCACTAGAGCAGGTTGTCCAATGTATACAATACATATATTATATAAATATATGTAATTGATAATAATTATATTATGAAATTATTGATATTCAAGGAAGGAATCCAGTTTTTTTGAAGCAACGCACTGGTGTCCACGAGGTCTCCGAGATCCAGGGCCCAGCAGAGGGGGTGGTGGGATGGACAAGCTGGTGCAGCTCCACCTTTCTCCAGCGTGTAAAACTGGTGGTTCCTGCACTTTGCATTTTTTCTGGGGCGAGCCAGGCCTTGGTGAACATTCCAAGGGTGCTGGGAAGGGAAGCCAACCCACCAGGATCAACCCTTGAGCAGCTCCTGAAGGCACCAACCTCCCACCACCCAACTGGCCGGGGCTCAGCTCTTCCATAATGCCCCAATTTGAACCTGATTTTCTGGGTAAATAGATCTGGCAGAGGCTGAGGGCTTTGGATGCATCCCACAATCCTGGTTTGTTTTTTTTTGTTTTGTTTTGTTTTGTTTTGTTTTTTTGCTTTGGGGACCAAAAATAAGGATTAAAGTGACGGGGACACAGCACTGATATTCCCTGGAAGTTGGCACTTGGTCAGCCCGGGGGGGTTTGGGGTTAACTGAGCACAGCCCAAACCTCCTGAAATCATTGAACCGATTACACAAAAAAATATCCAAGGTTTTCCATGCTTCAATCTTCCTAAAAAGAGCCAAAGGGAATCTGAAATGTTCCCCAAAAACATCCAGCTTGGAACTGGAAACCAGGATAACAACTTTACCCCAAAGGCTAATTTACTGCAGTTGTAAATGTCCAAAGACACAGCATTACAAGGGAGTTGCTTTCCCAACAGTAACTGGATAGCCAGGAGTACTTTAATTCAGCAAAATAGGGATTGTTTTTTATTTTCCCTGTTTTTTTTTCAGCCAGAGATGTCTTCCAGCTGCTCCCCTGCAAGAAGCAGGGAGCAACCGTGCCGACGGCAAGAGGAGTTTGGAGTTGCCCGGGTCAGATCTGTCCCAGGATCATGAATTTTGGACACCTCCACAGCTCTGAACAGCTCCAGAGGTCAAAAAGTGCTTCACCAGGAGAGCTGAGAGCTCTCCCAGATTATGTGGGGACATCAGAGGTGCTGAAAGTCAACTTATGCCTTCAAAAACCTCCTCCCAGTGTCGTGTCCACCACTCTCCATCCCTGCCTGCTGCAGGTGACACGCAGGGAACTCAGAGCAGGAGAACCCTCCCATCCTGAGCCATCTCTGACCCCGTGGGACCTGTTCAGGTCCATGAAGTATTTTTGAAGCAGCCCATGTTCTATGCAAGAAAACCTTGGTAAGTGTTTGAATGATTAGAGGAGAGCTGGGTGGACAAAACCACCAAGATCAGGACAAAAAGGAATCGCAGTGGGAGCTCTGACCCCACAGCAAACCCACAGGAGGGCCTGGTAAGGTCTGGGAGGGAGGGATGGGAGCTGCTGGTCCCTCTGGACACCACGTGGAGGTAGAAGCACTAAGCCATCAGATATTACGAATGAATGAAATTCCCTCCAGGACCCCGAATCCTGCAGGGTTTGGGTTGTGCTGTGCACATTCACAGTTCCATTTCTCCGAGAGGAGCCCTGGGCCAAGCCCAGCCTGGGTCTGTAACGTCAGCCCAGGGAGGAGAAGTGAAAGGAAGGGAAAGCGAGAGCTCAGCTCCCTCCCCACCCCTGTCAACAAACACCCCCTTTAACAGAGCCAAGCTTTGTTTAAATTAATCTATAAGGAAAAAAAAAATCAAAAAAAAAAAGGAAAGGAAAGGAAAGGGGAGTAAAAGCTCCTCTTTTAGCTCTAATTAGTGCATTTGAGACGCCCAAGTTCCCCGAGGGCCCCGTTTCAAAGGCAGTTTGCATTTCCATCGTTTAGTGCTCCATTTAAACCAAACAATCGCTGCAAGGTGAGGGTGAAAGCCCAAGCAGGCAGAGTCCTTACACTCGGGGTATCCTGGGAGAGATGTGTCACTGGGAAAAGAGATAATGATGGGAACAGGTCACAGAAGGAGCCAGCGGATCGGAATTTCCCCCCCCCTCCGCCCCGCCTCGAGGGCTGGGGAGGTGGGCTGGGAGCACCCAGGTCAGGGAGCACACTCAGGACAGCTGGAGCTGGTGGGTGATGGACAGAGAGACCCCCTAAAGGGCCTGAAGTCTGAGTGGGGAGAGCTCCTGGAATGGCACAAGGATGAGGGACGTGCAAGTGCCAACCCGGTGATTTCAGCGGGGGGTTCCTCCAGAAATTGAATTGGATACAGGAATACTGTCCTTCAGATTCCTTCCCATAATGGATGGGATGGGGGGAATGGCCTTAAGCTAAAGGAGGGCAGGGTTAGATGGGATATTGGGAAGGAATTCCTGGCTGGGAGGGTGGGCAGGCCCTGGCACAGGTTGGGTAGAGAAGCTGTGGCTGCCCCTGGATCCCTGGAAGTGTCCAAGGCCAGGGTGGAGCAGCCTGGGATAGTGGAAGGTGTCCCTGCCCGTGGCAGGGGGTGGAATAAGCTGGACTTTAAAGTCCTTTCCAAACCAAACCATTCCATGATTCCATGACGGTTTTATCCTGCCCACTTCTCCATGCAAGACTTAGCAGGGGGGTACCCATGGAATGAGCTGCTTGGACAATTATTAATTATCATTTTTGGCAGGTCTCTCCTCTCTGTCCCACCAACTGGAACACCGGCTGTGAGGTCTGATGGGGCAGCAGAGCAGTGGATCCTCCCTGGAGCTCACCTAAAGACACTGTCCCTGTCCCACAGTGCTTTTAGCACTCCATCCTCTCCCTGGATCCAGCAGAAGGGACATGGAGTAGAAATAACAGAAATAGAAACAATAGAATATAATTATAATAATAGAATATGTTCAGTTGGAAGGGACTGCCAAGGATCATCTGGTCCAGCTGCCCAACCACTTCAGGGCTGACCAAAAGCTGAATCCTGTTGGTAAGGGCATTGAACACTGCAAAATTTGGGATAGGTTTAGAATAGATATTGGAATAGTATCTTGTCTATTTCTTTATATATATATATAGACATAAAAATATTATTATATTGTTTTATATCTAAATATATATTATATTTATAATATATATATATAAAAAACACAATTAATAATTTAGGTCATATAATATTATTAGGAAGAATATCTCGTGCCTGCAGAGCAGCAAATTTTAAATGATTATGGGGCTTGAGATCCCACTTTTACAGCAGAATTTTGTTGTAAGACAAGGGAAACTCTACTTGGGAGGGAAGTAAAAACACAGACCCTCAGCCAAGTCCTTGGATTTTGGTGAAAAAACCGGGATTCAGGTGAGAGGGATAAACCAGGAATTTCCCATTTGAGCTCCCCCTGTCCAGCCAGGGGGTGAAATCTTTGCTCCCTGGATCCCAAGGAGCCTCCTGCTCTCCGAGCTGCTCCATCCCAGCACCACCAGCACGGAAGGAGCTGCCAAAGCAAGACAGGGGGCTGAAAACTCTCCCGGGATTGCGGAGCCACACTCACTTTTCCAGCAGGACCAGGGCAGTCGTGGGGTTCACACGCAGGTACTTGCACGTGGGTTGCCCGTAGTCAGCCAAATACGTCGACCAATCCCACTGGATGAACAGATCCAAGAGCTGGAAAAGGAAAAAAAAAACAACGGATGGGAGGTTGAAAAAAGCTGGAAAAGGGGAGCAGGTGGTTGATCTGGAAGCTGGTGAAGATGCTGGGCGGGTGGAGTTGAACCACCAAAAAAGGTTTGAAGGTTTAACTAACTTAATATTGTTCTGCTAACGTTTAATTACCAAGTATTATTAATTTATGAAGATTTAATGCTGATTAAAGCATGACTGTGTTAATTTATAGTGCACTCCCACTCCGTTATCTCTGTTTTTGGGGTGAAGTAGTGGATTTGAGGTCTGGGACATCCTGAGAAGGTGAAGGACCACAGAGCCCTGACACCCCCAGCCCTGGCAGGAGGACACTTTTGGGGTCAAAGTCACCACAAATTTCTTCAGTCCCCAGATAACCCCTGGTGTTGTTTGAACCATTCCCCCAGGATTTCTCTCACCACACTTGTTCCATCTCAGCACCTTCCAAGTGCTCTGTGAGCGTCTCCAATGCCCAGAACTCCCATGGGAGGTGTGGGACCCACTCAGGCGTTTATTTTGGGTGGGTGCAACAACCAGAGACTGGGAGTCTCAGGTGCTTTCCAGTCCCTTGTAAGAGAAACCAACGGGCCCAACAGTGGGGGAAGGAAAAGAACTGCAGGTTAACTGCAGAATGGCAGGATATGCTGAGTTGGAAAGGACACACAGGGATCATGAAATCCAACCAGCCCTGCACAGTCCCACGTGCCAACCGTGACAGTCCCAGCTCCAGACCTCCAAAATTCCCACCTGGTCAGCTCCACAAGTGCCCCACCGCTCCCAGAGGAGCCAGGTGAGGGACGAGCAAACTACAGACCTCTTCCCACACCATCCCCACCCTTATTTTCCTTAAAACCCAACCAGGAGCTCCCATGTCTTTCCCTCACCCCTCAGAGCACCGGCTTTCCCACCCACCCCCACGGACACAGCTGAGGGTTCATGGGGTGGAGCCTTCACCTCCACCATCTAAAACAGGTTAATTAAGAGCTTCATTTCTCCCCCCACCCCAAACATTCCATCCTGGAGACCAGCTTTGACCACTCTATTTGGAACAGACTCCTGTGTCTTTCCCTCATCCCTCAGTGGCTTTCCCGCCCACATGGACACAGTCAAGGATCCATGGGATGCAGCCTTCACCTCCACCATCTAGCCTTGCATAGAGTCCCACGTGCCAACCGTGACAGTCCCAGCTCCAGACCTCCAAAATTCCCACCCGGTCAGCTCCACAAGTGCCCCACCGCTCCCAGAGGAACCAGGTGAGGGACGAGCAAACCGCAGACCAGCTTTCCTAAATTCCCACACCATTCCATTTCCTTATTTCCCTCAAAACCCAGGCAAGGAGCTCCCACGTCTTTCCCTCACCCCTCAGTGGCTTTCACCGCCCGCACGGACACCGCTGGGGACCCGTGGGATGCAGCCTTCACCTCCACCGTTAATTAACCTCGCCAGGTTAATTAAGATCTTCTGCCTGTCCCCCTCCCTTCCCGAAACATCCCGCCTTGGAGCGCAGCTGTGACCGCTCTATTCGGGGACGGGCTGCCAAGCGCGTGGACGTCTTCATCTCCCGCCTCTGCACATCCCGGCGCCCACCACCGCAGCCGGGAGAAGCCGGGAGAAGCCGGGAACCATAGAGGGCCCATTGTCCCCGCGTCTCCATGGTTTTCCTGGAGGCTCCGGCGCTGTTTAACAACGCGCCCTGCCCCGCCAAGAAGGGGATTTAGCTCCTCCGAGACCTCGAGATACAAAACAAAAATGTGCAACAAGATTCTCTTTGACTATGTAGGTCAGGGCGAAAGAAAAACAAGCCGCCGGGAACAATCCCGCGGGCTGGCGGGGGGGACGGATTAGCCGGGACCTAAGAGGCCTTTTCCAGCCCGCGGTCCCGCTCGGCTTTGTGCGCCGGGGCCATTGTGTCAACCCCAAAGCCGGGCTGAACATGGCTGGCAGGAGGTTTTATCCAAGACGGGCACCTCCGAGAGGCGACCTCCAACGCGATTTCACAGGCCCCTTTCAGGCGGGAGCGGCGGGGCCAAGGCCCCTCCCGCGGGGTTTGTCGGCCGCTGGGAGAACTTGCAATGGTTGTAAGAGGCTAAATGGGAACCCCCCACAACGCACCAAAGGCCTCTCGCTGGTGGCCGAACGTGCCTCGGGCAGAGCCCGAACAAAGCGCGACGAGGGATTGCCGTGGAAAAGGCGCCGAGGGGGCCAGGTAGCCATTCGTGGAGAACGGGGATAAAGGGCCGGTGGAACGGGGTGAAAGGAGGCAGGGAAACGAAAAGGTGAGGGTTTAGAAAGGGGTTAGGAGAAGGTGGGATTGAAATGTGGGGAGTTGTTATAAACAGGGAAGCGACAGAGGCTCAGCGGCTCAGAGGAGGCCCCGGAGATGCTGCCAGGGCTGGAGCCCCTCTGCTCTGGAGCCAGGCTGGGAGAGCTGGGGGGGTTCCCCTGGAGAAGAGAAGGCTCCAGGGAGAGCTGAGAGCCCCTGGCAGGGCCTAAAGGAGCTCCAGGAGAGCTGGAGAGGGACTGGGGACAAGGCATGGAGGGACAGCACACAGGGAATGGCTTCCCACTGCCAGAGGAACTCCAGTGACCTGGAGCTGCTGGTCAACAGTGGCTGAACATGAGCCCAGGTGGCCAAGAAGGCCAAGGGCACCTGGATTGTACCAGCCCTGTGTGGCAGCAGGACCAGGGCAGTGCCTGTGCTGGTGCTGGTGCTGATGAGACCCCACCTTGAATTCTGGGGGCAGTTCTGGGACCTCAGACAAGAGAGACACGGAGGGGCTGGAGCGTGTGCAGGGAAGGGAACGGAGCTGGGAAGGGGCTGGAGCAGCAGGAGGGGCTGAGGGAGCTGGGGGGGCTCAGCCTGGAGAAAAGGAGGCTCAGGGGGGACCTTCTGGCTCTGCAATCCCTGACAGGAGGGGGGAGCCGGGGGGGTTCGGGCTCTGCTCCCAGGAAACAGGGACAGGAGGAGAGGGAACGGCCTCCAGCTGTGCCAGGGGAGCTTTGGGTTGGATATTAAGGACAATTTCTCCACAGGAACCTGCTGCCCAGGGCACTGGTGGATCCCTATCCCTGGAGGGATTTCAAATCCCTGTGGATGTGGCCCTTAGGGACGTGGGTCAGGCTGTGGCCTGGGCAGCACAGCTGGACTCGACGATCCTCGAGCTCTTTTCCAACCCAAACCATTCCATGACTCCAAACGCCCCCACCTCAAGCTGGACCTTCCCGGAGCTCCTTGAGAGCCCGACTGCCCCCGGCTGGCTCCCGACAGTGACGGATGGCCTGTGTATTTTCCAACTGTTTGCCCACATCCATCTTTTCGGCTCGGCAGGTCCGAGGATATCCAGGGCCGGCACCTTTGCCGGGGGCAGCGCCGGCGCTCCGGGTCGTGCTCCGGAGGGGAGAGAGGGCTGGGAGGAGGAAGCCCGAAGGCTCGGGGAGAGCTGCCTCGGAACGATTTATCTGTCACATAAATGTGGTTTTATTGGTTTTACTGTTTCAACTTTTCACCTCTCGCTGCTAAATCTGAACGGCCCAGACAAACACACACACCAAAAAAAAAAAAAAAAAAAAAAAAAAAAAAAAAAAAAAAAAAAAAAAAAAAAAAAAAAAAGAAGGGAAAGGAAAAACCCGCCTGGGCTGCTGAGGGTCTGCTGGGGGAGTTTCCAAATAAAATATGCAAATACCATTAATTCTTTAAACGAGAGTCTCCCTTTCAAGGCCATAAATCAAACTCGACAGCACGTACACTGGGGGGGAAAAGGGAAAAGAAGAGGAGGGGAAAAAAATAAAGAGGAGCTTTGAGCATGAGGATGCTGAAGGGGGGGATGAGCTCAGGAAGCTGCAGGGCTGAGGAGCTGCAGCTTCCCGTGAGCGTCTCGTGCAAGGGCAGGGAGAGGTTCAGGTGCACGTTTCTGAAAAATGAAGGCACAGGGGGGATGGTTTCAATGCGATGCCAAAAGAAAGGTAAATGAATTAAAGATAGTAAATTTAAAAAAAAAAAAATTTAAATTGGTTTTATACAGGTATATGAACTTTTCCTCGAATGGTGAAAATTGAATTCAAGAGAGGCAAATGCTGGAAAGAAAGAAAGAATTAAACTGGGAACCAGTTGCCAGCCCTGCCCCAGGCTCTCCTAAGCAGGGGTTGAGAAACACTTTCTCCCCATTTCACAGAATCACAGACTCACAGAATCATCTAAATTGGAAAAGACCTTGAACATCTTTGACCCCGAATCATTTGAATTGGAAAAGACCTTTTAACGTCATCGAGTCCAACCGTCAATTCTACCTCAAAACCCACTTCCTTTTCGCTCCCCTCAGAACATCACGTTCAAAAACATTCTTTCCATCCAAGCAGAGGTTTGTTTTCAAGCCCATCACCCCAAGCCCAGGGAAAGGACGGTTGAAACCTCCCTGCTGGTGGCAAACAGGGACTGTGCATCTCCCTCCAGATGCAGAGCAAGGCGGGACAGCGTATTCTGCCTGAGACGAGAGGACAGAGCTGCAGCTGGGCAAAATCCCCTCAGCCAAGGCAGGAATAATGGAATGTGAACCCCAACTGATTCAAAATGCGGTCTGCAAGCTCTGCCAGAGTCCCTGGAACAAGATCTGAGCCAGCACCAGCACTTGCACCCGTGTCACGGAGTCGCAGAATTATGGAATGGTTGGGTGGGAAAGGACCTTATGGAACAGCCAGTGCCACCCCCTGCCGTGGGCAGAGACACCTTCCACTAGCCCAGGTCTCTCCAAGCCCCATCCAACCTGGCCTTGGACAGTTCCAGGGATGGGGCTGTGACTGCCTTGAAAGGAATTTGGTTCCATAAGAGGCATTCCCTCACCGCAGTGTTCCAGTTCCAGTCCTTAGAGGGTGGCTACAAGCAGGAGGAGGAAAAAGGATCCCTCTTCACAAAGAGCCCCATGGAGAAGACACAGAAAGCCCCCAAGTTACAACAGGAGAGGTTTTGTTTCAGTATAAGAAAGAAATTCCTTAAGGTGAGAGCAATCTTTCACTGGAACAACTTCCCTGGGGATGTGGTGGAGCCCCCACTGGGTTTTTGGGAGACTCAGATCAACCTGGAAGGGACAGCGATACCACAGGGTTACAGCCAAGCTTTCACCATGAGTTTTATGTCCCCTGGATGCCAGGGCATGGAAAAGAGTTGATTAAGTCAGGTTTGGTGTTTTCCCAGCTGGAAGGAGCACTCCTGCCCTGAAACCTGCTAAGGGTCATCCATGAGCGACTGCTCCCGCTTTTGAGGGGGAGAAGGAGGGATTATTTTCAGAACCAAGCTGAAAACAGCTCTCAAAAGCTTTATTACCCCTTCTAATCCTCACAGCCTCGGAGCCTGATGTTCCTTTTCCACAGCCTTTGCAGCAGCACGTGGAATGAACAGCCTCTGACCCGACACCTGCCACAAAGCAGCCGTGCCGGTAAGAGGTCACACCAGGAGCTTACAAACTTGCTGAGATCTTTCCTTTAAAAAGCTAATTTCAGTGATTTAACACCCCAGCTCCTTCCATGAAGGTGACAACAAGAGCCTCAGAGTAAATCAGCACTCGAGTCCTGCCCCTGTTCCACTTGTGGGAAGGGACAAGGTGCTCCCAGTGGGACCAGAAAACAACCAGGTATGACCCGATCCTGCTGGATACTTTCGTAAAACACCAAAAACTACAGAAAACCAGTGGGAATTTCCAGTTTGCCCGTGCCTAAGCCTGCCCACAACCCACCCCACCACTGGCTGAGCAGCCCCTTCCACCAGCCAGCTGGGAATTGTTGCGGAGCACAAAAGCCCAAGGAGCTTCCAACATCAGCAGCCACAGACAAGGCCATTCCAAATCATTTGTTTTGGTGAGGTTTCAATTATTCCTCGTGGGAAAGCACTACTGAAAGGGAAAGAAATATTGGAGGCCACGGGGAGACGTGGGTTTGGACAATAGTGGTGCCCAGAAGAAAAAGGCACCGGCAACTGGAACATCGTGCTGGTTCCTTTGATTGTGAAAGACATGGAGGGCAAAACTGTGGGCTAAGTGAAAACAGGAGCAGATTTGTCACTGATTTCCCTGGAAATGAAGATTTGCTCTGTGTTTGAGTGTCCTTTGCATTGGTTGGGGGGGCAGGGTGGGAGCAATAAACTGGTGATGCCCAGCTTGGAGAATGTTCAGTTTGAGGGATCCACACACAGAGCACAGGGAAGGTTTAATCTGCTCTCAGGGGCTCACCAGCCCTGGCTTTCCAGGAGTTACTACAGATCAGAGAGTTCTGTCCGGCCTGCTTGGACCTCTCTGTGAAGGCACAACCCTCACAGGGACTCCTGGGAAGATGTCCCACCCAGGGATGTCCTTTCTCCTGAACACTCACCTAAGAGCATTCAGAAAAGAACCCTATCCAAGTTCCTCATTTAACTCGACTGATTTTACAAGCTAAGGCAGCAATTTAATCTTTTTTTTTTTTTTTCCTTTTTCCCCCTCTTTATATCTGCAAAAGTCAAACAGTTCTTGGAAAAAAAACATGAGAGGAATCTGGGAGGATTTATGGCAGACAGGACAGTATGTAACAGAGAGAGGTCTGAGACCAACAGAGCCCCAATCTGTCCAGTCTGGATTATTTTCAGATTCACATTATTGCCTGTTTATAGGTTTTTGTATTCCTGACATCAGAATTCCAGCAGGAAGGGCTCCAGAAAGCTCTTTGCCTGCGCTGTGTGCACAGAGAGATCTCCCGGTTTTCCATCTGCGAGCGTTCACAGTTTATGAGGAGGAAAACCTCCGGCTTTCCACCTGCTTTGAAGCACCGCTGGAATTCCACCGGTTGTCTTTTCTACCCTTTCAGAAGGTGTTTGTTCTTGTTAAAACCCTAACACAATTCTACCTTACAAACGTTTCTGGCTGTAACTCACTTCTGTGCCTTCAACAAAAAAAAAAAACAACCCTCCCTTTTGGGTTAAACTGAGGAATCCACCTTCTCCTCCCACCCTGCCACACGAAACCACATGAAGGAGCCTCGAAAGGTTGCTGGGCTTCGAGAGAAGTGAAGCAAAACAGCCCCACGAGCTGAGGATCAGCACATCCTGTTGGGGTGACAGTCCCTGAGGTGGCTGGAAAGTCCCTGCCAGCCCCGTTCACGTCCACCTGGTTTTGCCGGTGCAGGACCGCGGCTTTACTCGTTCCCTGGATATCTGCCCGTAGGGAAAGCTGAACCAAATTCTAGGGAAATCCCAAGTTTCTCTGCTCGTGGCAAAGCACTTGGGGAGGGGAAAAAAAAAAAACAAAAAAACCAAAAACAAACCCCCAAAAACCGAGGCATGAAAATGATTTGGTGCAAACCCAGTGGGATAAAATCCGGCCTTTCCAGCGATAACCGCCCGCCCGGGGGGATTTTATGAATGGCCACGGGAACAAAAGGAAACTCTGCCCTGCTGGGTCTGGTGGCCAATTTGCACTCCTCAAAATAATTATGTGGACTCATCAGATTCTCCAGGCAGGTTCACAAGTTTGCAAGGCAGCAGTTCCACCCTCCAGACCCTACAATCTGGTAGGACACGAGGACAATACTGGGCAGGAGCCAAGAGAAATGAAAGAGCCTCGGAAGAGCAGTTCCAGAGGGACTGCTATTGAATAACACTTTGCTTTTCCATTTAGCCATCACAAAAGGGGGATTCATTCCCAAAGAAATGATGTCTCCTTTAGAAGCAGCCCCCCAGTAGCTGCTCCAGCTCAGACACATCCAGGAGCTGCATCCATCCATCCCTGCTCCCAGCAAGGATGAATTCTCCAAGGTCAACACCCAATGTTACGGGGGCTGAATTTGGGATGTGATGCTTGGAAAACGCTCAGCTTGGAGATGGTTATTGTTAGAGGCATTTCTGAAGGGGTTTCAGGCAGGAAAAGGTGGGTTTGCTGAAGGTAGAAGACCCCCCAGCTCCGTGCCTGGGAGGTGGTGGCTCCATGTTCAGGTATCTCGTGGATATGGGAGTTCCTTCCCACTGCTGTATTCCAGGTGTGTCCAGCCTCCTGGATTTATCTGACTTGCCCTGCCTGACCCACACTTCAAAATCAGAAAGAAGAAAGATTTTCCAGTGAAAATGCTAAGGAATGACATGAGAAATCCCAGTATCACAGCGGCGAGTCAGGATCCTTTGGGAAGGGAAGAGTTAACACGAGCACAAAAACCCCACAAAACCCCCTAAACAAGGGAAAGGGGGTTGAGAGGGGAGAAAAGCAACAGCTCCCCAAATAAAACCACGTCCAGCATTGTACCAAAGGGGAGGAAAAAAAAACAAACGCTTTGATGCCACTTTTCCAGGGGGGAA